TATTATTACTATTATTATTACTAGAAGGGATTTGCCAGTATAGACTACGTTTCCTTCAAGATCCTTGGATGAACGTCGTCGGGCTCCAACGCGCAGAATGAGTTGATCTTGTGCAAGAGTTGACAACTGTCCTCCACCGTGATACCAAGTCCGCGGGAGGCTGTTCGTAGTTACGCCTTGACAAGGGTGGATGTGACGAGGACGCTGGGGCTGAATATGGACCTGCATAGTTTTCTCTATAAACCTCATATAGCGCTGTTGTGTCATTCTTCGGTTCTCCGTTCCAGTCCTCAAAGAGAACACGGATGGCTTGTTTCTGCGGCGACGTCTGATGTATTTGAACGCTACATTGTTGTTTTTCCGAGCGAGGTCTATGATGGTGGCCTGTTTCGTATATTCCGCTGACGGATTTCTGATTTACGAAATGCCGGCTCATCTTCTGTACCTCCTGTAGTAAAACTTGAAAAAACGCTGGGACCTTTTCAAAGAATTTGCCGAATACTTTTGGGCAGTCTGCAACTCATCCGGGTGCGAGCTGGTTTCTGGGATGAATATAATGTCAGGCCGTGAACTTTCTGGACAACGATCCTACATAATTTTTTCCACTGGGACCGGTCCCATTTTAACTTGATCAATAAAGGTGCGCATTCCTGAAAAGTCTGCACGGCGGAAGTCTCGAAACACGTTTGAGGCGCGGGATTTCAGGCCCAGTGGCAGATGAGATCAAAGGCCACCACACGGAGGCCGCTGTTTCCCAATGAAGTGATAATTGTTACCTGATCAACAAAGTGTCCTTCGTTGGTGATGACCAAATCCAGGAGGGATGGTAGTTGGCCTGTGCGGTATCTGGTGGGTGCAACGACATGTTGGGTCCAAGCGCTCGGTTGAACGACTTCAGTCAGCGCCGCTGCAAAAATTCCGACGCGACTGAGCTCCATCCAGGAGGCCTTTGTGGCGTTGATGCCACCAACCAGCAGGAGATGAATGAAGTGATAGTTGGAGGAGAGTTGCTCAGGGGTTCATATAAGGAATTGGCCATCTTCAGGGGGATTCGAAGGGCTACGGTAGACCACACCGAGAGGGAGAGAATTGGAACCGCGAAGCGGGATTAGGACCCAGAGTGCATCGCAAAAGGGTGCGGAGGTAATGTCAAAGAGGAAAATCGGGTTTGGTAGGGCCGCATGTAAGTACAGAACAACCCCACCAGCCCTCCCTCATTTCGAGTCAGCTCGAAAAATAGAGTAGTCCCCTATAAAGATCTCCGCGTCAGAGAAATCTGGTGTGAGCCAGGTCTCCGTGAATGCAATTCTAGACGGTTGTTCAAGTTAAACTGACTAATATCGCTGCGTTTGTTGAGAAGACCGAGGTAGTTTGTAGACAAGGATTTCAGCAACTTCTCTGCTGCCTCGGAGGACGAGGAGCCGAAAGTTGAGTGGCCAGAGAGGTTAGCATACTTAACAGTTCTGTGCCGCGTTTGAGTCCCAACCTGCAGAGGGGCCTTTGAGGCAATGTCGTCTGCTTCCTGTTTTCGTGGTGTCTGTGGATTCTTCTCGCTTGCGATGTTTTTTCGCCCGTTGAGAGTCCGGTTTGCTCGGACGTTTTACGGATTCACGGATTGATACACAGGATTGAGGCTTTTGCCCAAGTTTCCCGGGTCCAATTTGTTCCTGTCGTTCAGCGGCTGTTGTTCACTCGGCAAAAAAGTGAAAAAAGGGTGTAGCATTGCTCTTTATATTCTCAGCACTGGGCAGTATGCTTGCCAGCGCGAGGATTCGCATTAATAAATGTCGAATAGTGCTTTAAACTGGGTTCACGGATTCACGGATTGATACATAGGATCGAGGCTTTTGCCCAAGTTTCCCGGGTCGCTTTTGTTCTTTTCGGAGCGTGGGCAACCGTCGGAGGAAGGTCATCACACGCTGCTAATACCCGAAATGATAAAAAATTGCTCAATGAATGTGCGCGCTCTAAGTTTGAAAATGTTCTTACCATGTCCCAGCCGTGTCTTTGCTGGGTCAACAGTGAAAACCTGTTGGTCATGCTTTGTTCAAGCAGAGCATAAGTAAGAGGCGACGATACTCCAGGGGAGAGAGCTCAAGCACCGCGAGACGCGTTTCATAGTCCACGGATTTGAGGCCGGCACCCATTCTCGTAGCGGCTCGCTGGGCACACTCAATGAGGGCGAACTCTTTCGTGCGTCCTGAGTAGAACACTTGGTTGTCATATTCAAGGAGCGGTCTGACGTGGGCCCCATAGACCATTCGGAACTCCATGCGAGTAATACGGGAGAAGGTGCGTCGGATCATCCGTAAAACGGCGAATGACTTTTGGGACGATTTCTCATGGTGCA